GAACGCAGTATGTTCACGAACTTCTGCGGCATTCTTTTGCGAAGGATCGAACCCATGAGGGATTTGCGGTCAACTCAGTCGAAGACTCCTTTTAGGTCAAGGAACACAACAACAACTGGCCGACGGTGCGTATGGCGTAGTTCGAGGACTTGACGCAGAGTGGAGATTTGATCGATACACCCGCAGCCTGGTCGTAATCCTGCCTGTTGTTCACAGATATTTGTCTCCCTGAACGTTGTCACACGTCGAAGTACGATGGAGTCTAGTAACTTTTAGACGATTTGTATTTGTATAACTTTTACAAGCTGAGGTATACTTACATTTCAGTTCAAAATTGTGCATTGGTCGTCGCACCGGCGAAAATATAGAAGTATAGACAAATCCAATAGAGTACTGTGTAAAAAAAGTCTCCAAAGTTTGATCCATTCAAGTAAACATTGACGTAATTCTTTTGTAACCCGTTCCTTGTTGGACAAGATTCGAGCCAGATATGGTACAGGGGAGTTTTATAAATGTTTATTCGAGAGGGTAGATATCAATAAGAGGAACGAGTGATATAGTGAGAGCGACAAGAAGATAAGTCAAAATGCAACGGATGGGAGGGGTAGTTTAGAATCTTATTAGCAAAGGTTACATAAGACTTTATATGGCCATTAATAAGTTCTGTGAATTATGACTCGGCAGAAATTAAAGATGCACAACTTGTTATCATCAATCCACAACTGATAGTTTTCAAGTCTTGTTTCAATAGACCGGGAAACACTACAGCAAGGGAGTAAAATAGGGAGAACGCATCGTTTGCCAAAGGAGTACAAAAGTTGTTGGGGAGTGCGAAATCGTCTGAGCTTCCGAAGCTAGAAGGAGAGGCGCCGCAGTTTTTCCATACCGGTTCTGAATGTGTCGACCATTATCGATAGTAACATCCAGATATTTGGCTGAAGTCACTCCAGACAAAAGTTTATAATTACGGGTTACAGAGTCTGACGGGAATGAAGAGTGGGAAGAACTAAAAATTCACTCCAAGCACTTAGATGTGTTAAGATTGAAGCCAGAATGGGATTAAACTAATTCCACGGTGGCTTGCGAAGTCTTTGAGAGATCCCTTCTTAAAATTTGGAACAATAAGTGATTCCCAAGGTCGAACTTCTACTGCACTAGGAGGTTCAGATGGCACTTTCCACGGAGCCTTGGCTACACTTGAGGAGATAGTCTGCTTAGTGCCCGACCATCTGAACTGTTCGTTGAAGTACTCCGCTCACCGGTCAAGCAGTTGTTCCCTATTGTAAATAGCTTGCCAACTTTTGTCATAGACTGTTTCACTAACTGTGGTTCGCCGACATCTCGTGTTGCGTATCAGTTGAAACAGCCTTTGACTATTCCCTGATGCAGCTGCTACTTCCATTTCTCTAGCTATTGTTGCCCACCAGTTCTTACCGTCCTTTTTGAGGCCCTTCTTGAGTTGACGCTGCGGACGCCACCTACGTACTTTATTCACTTTACGGCGGCCGGC